TTCATACAAACCATGTGTCTATCGTATCATTTTAACCAATCTTATCATATGCATAAGGGAGTTGTGTTGTTTTAAAGCATTTTAACGACACTGTCAGTACATTGTGCGTTGGTCAAGAAAGACTTGTGATTTATGGAGATATTGTCGCTGAAGTGTATTTTCTGTGGGTTGTGTGCCTCACACTTTACTCTATTTCAAGTGATGGGCTTGGAGTGTTATTTCAAGTTCAACATTTCATGCTAAGAATCATTTGCCCAAACTACATAACCTGTGTGAATATATTACCCAATGTCTGGTAATAGTTAATTTATCGCTTTATTTATTTACAGTTTTCCAAGGTCTTATATATGAACAAAATGACAATGTACACCACGACATTAACAAATTAACTACACAATACGCACAATACCAGTGTATTTGTAAATAACATAAGACTTTATGGAGCATAATTTGTCATATTTCGAAGTCCAATGTAGTGCATGTACGCATCCTCTTCATTAAGTCTAACTGACAATTGCATAGTAAATAAACATTTGATATTGTTTATAATCAATGTAGTGATCGGTCATGCCATTGTGAGTTACCATTGACAATAGTTCAGAACAAATCTTTTTGTCAGAATGTCAAGTTCAACCAAAATCCGGTATTAAGCGTTTTATTTTATTTTTCGAAGAAATAGAGGGTTGGGGTGAATATATCAGTGGTCGACCAATGTGTGATATATTTGACATGAAATCCCTTTGCTGAAATTGTGTGTTCATATGAATCGGATAAACTGACATAACATTCAAATAAAAAAGTATATGAGTAACCCACCTCCCGGCTTTTATGGATAACATTTGATATATATCTGTCCTTCCAGTTTTAACTAGTCATTCACAACTAATGTATGTAGGAACCCGTTGATAAAGACAGCTGAATTTTGACAGATAATAAGCTTCTATTTAAAGTTCTTTATTGGCTATTCCTCCTTGAAGTTTTAGAAGACTTAGATTTGTAGGTTGAATTTTATTAAATATCACCCAGTTTCAAAATAGCGAGATCATATTAGGATGAGTAATGTTTTACTCAAAATATTTTGTTCTTGGAATGAGTGGAAGTCAGGTCGAATTTATTAGAACTTAAGTTGTACAGTGAGTTGATGAAATGCAGGCGTATTCCAAATGTTCTAACCAATGGCTGTGAATAAATGAATATTTGCACAAGCTTGACTTGGTGAAAGTTCGAATGTTAAAATATTGCAGTAATGCCGTAACTTCACAATGGAAAATGCTGAGTGTCCAAAAAACGCGATAAATAATGGGTGTGATGGCGCTATTTCAATGGAAATGTACGTGTTTCTTGCGCAAAGATCAAGTGATTAGTCCCATTTACACCTGTGATGGCGCTACATTTGATTGAACATAAGGGTGCGCGTGGACGGTGTGTTCTATCATAAACAAATGCACGGGTTCATTTATTTGCTGTGTCGGTCTTCATGTAGTACACGGCTAGTGTATTAAATTCAGCTACGACCATGGAACCGTTACGTGTTTGTTCCACGCTAACCCGAGGCTTCGAAGGTTTTGTCGCCACGTTATATATAAACTAGAGCTTCTAATATTATATTTATCATTTCATCTAGTGTATAACAATGAATTAATTTACTTAACCCCAAGCGTGTTGTGTTCTATATCGTTATAGCCAAGGTTTGAGGTTCTATATATTTATAACTTTTCATTCTCTAGATTCAATTAAAATCAGGATAGATACACATTGTATCGCTACACAAGTCCTTTACATAGTATCATGGAGCTAGAAAGGGAAGGAGAGAGGACACTATTGTTTCAGCCTATTATATGATAGTTATAGTTTATTTGCTCATTAGATATTGACCCCTTCACTATAACAAGATTAACAGGGTTTAATCTTTTGTTGGTTCCGTATACTGTATACTGTACTGTACTGTACTGTATACTGTATCTTTTTGAGGAATTGTCAGGGGAAAAAAATAGCTTTGAGAATTGAGTTCTTTTCCGCATACACGACATGTACACGGCAATGACATCACTGAGAATGTATCCAGGACTGCGTTGTTTCCGGTCTAAATGTCAATGAATGACCTCTGACGTT